ATTATTTACCCAGAGACTCAAAGAGCATTAATATTCCTTTTCTAAGAATAGACTGGCTTGGGTCCAGTATTTCAGGAAACATCATAATAGTATAGACCTACGTTGCTGAGTGCCTTCCACGTCACTTTATTTACAACATCTCATTAAATCGTCAAAGTAATTTTATGTAGTATAACTTAATTTTATAAATGTGGAAGCCAAGCCTCAAAAAACTTGAGTAACTTGCCCAAAGTTGCATACTACAGATATTCAGTAAATTTGTATTATTTGTAAATTAAACATTTTTAAAAACTCTAATACTCCTACAACATTCAGAATCCTTTATGTACAAATAATTCCTCGTATATATACCACCCTAAGTTCATACTTTTTGTATAAACTAAGGCAAAAATTACTACAAATGGAGTGACAATTACGATGAAATTTTCAGCAAATATTTGTAGATTTCTGAATTTATTTTATGTTACTTTTAAGGCTTAAAAACCAGGCAAACCAGTTCTTTCTTTGTACTTTGTCATTCTGATTTTAACAAGTTCAGGTTTCTACTTTATGTTTTAGCGTAATTGTCTTTAGTGGCCAAATGTTTAGTAATCATACTCTTGTACTTTCTGTTTCAGTCAGAAAATGTAACTGTGACAAAGGATTTTAAAAGAGTAGAAAGTGCTTATCACATGGAAGCAGAGGTATGTACTTACCTTAACAAATAATTGGAAACAGCATGACTTTGTGGGGACAATTTGCATTTATTTTTACTCTTAAACTCAATGTATAGGAGAAATGCTTCTCATGGTATTGAAAAAAGATCATTTTTCTCAAAATCATTTTTTGGTGTTAACATAGCTGGGTGAGCTTTCAGAATAAATTTAATGAGATTTAAGAGAAATTGTTTTGAAATGGATTAAAAATAGCAAGGGGCAAGTAGCATCTAATTGCCACTTGAATAAAATTTTAGTAATGTTAACACCTAGTGTGCAGGAAACACTATAGGAGAGAGATTTCTTCTCCTAATAAAAAGCAAACTAATAAAGTGATAGCATAAAGAATTGAAACACTTTTCAACATTCTTTCGTTTCACAATGCAATTTTATTGTGTTATGTTAAGGCTTATTTAAAAATAAAAATTCCTCAACCTTTGCATAAATTAAAAAGAATAAAATACTTTCATACAGTCAATTAATGACAGCATTCAGTTCCTACAACTGCTAAGCCTTTTGCTTATTCTTCAAGATTTTATTATCAGGATTTTATGAAATCAGAGTATGTTACACGTAGTTGTGGTTAGTTACAAGACTGCTGTCTGTTTCTGATTCCAAGCATCTTGGGGTCTGTGCTTAGTCCATGCTG